AGTTTAGTATTTTGTTTACCATATTTCATAAGTTTTATATAATTTACATTATTTGCTAAAGAGAACTTGAATTAAAAAAAGTTTTGGAATTAAATGAAATTTTTTTTAAAATTGAGGGACAATATGGCAAGAAGAAAGTTTCAATCATAGACCTAAATGAATGAATTTGAAGTTTAAGCACCAAAGCGTTCATAAAGTAAAGATTAAACCCACAATTGAGTCCTTCAACTATTGCACGAACATTTAATTTGATCCCTAAACTAAAAAAATTTTTAATTTGATATCTACTATTACAAATTTAGCCCTAAATTGATTATTTTATATAAAAATAGATGACGTATCTTATAATTAATATAACATATAACCATTAAATAACCTTTTTTAACTATTAAATAACAAATACATCAATTATTTTTTAATGAAAAGACTAATTTAAAATTAAATTAATAAACAATAAAGATCAAATCAAAAATTTTTTTAATTTAAAAATCAAATCAAAAATTTATGTAATAGTTAAGAGACTAAATTAAGGATTTTAACCTAAAGTAAACAAAAGAAGAACACAGATGTGACAAATGTGACATTTTACCTTTGACACCTTTGGCGTGTCAACACTATACTTTAGTAATTTGGGTACTCCTTGGAATTGGCTATAAAAGTGTCAACACCAATACTGTAGTGTCGATACTTCTGCTATATTGTCCAGGTTAGCTCTTTTGTGACACGTGAGGAATTTAGATTAGTCTCACATATGGAATTCATCTACGAACTCAACACCAATATTTAATTAATTTTTAAATAAAAAAATTTAAAAGTAGTTTCTTTGATTAAAAAATTAAAAAAAATAATTTTAATTAATAAAAAAATAATATCATTTATTAAAATAAATAAAGTGCAGGTAAAATCTCTATAAGTATCTAAAGAAGTTAAGAAAATCTCTTCTCATTTGGAGTTAGGATTTCTAATTCGAATTTAGTTTAAACTCTTGAATTTAATAAATCAAGTTGTTGTATTCAGCCAAACTCTAAATGTCCAAAATAATAATTTTAATTAATGAAAATTTTTATTTGCATAAAAAATGATAATTTAATTGAAAAAATCAAATCTTACTTTCTATTTTTTTTTTCATTTATTGCTAAATCAAACAAAAGGAGAGCAGAAAAGAGTGGATGAGTAACAGGTGAAACAAACAATGATTGAGTAAAGCAGAAAAGGGAAAAGTCAGGATTTCTAATTCAAATTTGGTTTAAACTCTTGAATTTATAAATGAAGTTGTTGTATTCAGCGGAATTTTAAGTGTTCAAAATAATAATTTTAATTAATAAAATTTTTATTTGTATAAAAAAATAATAATTTAA